ATCTCAATTTTTCAGTTAATCAGGGAGAGCCAGTGTGGATTTGTGATGGGCAGTTCATGCCTGACAAACCATCTGAATTTTGAGGTGACCTAAGGTAGTGGATGGAAATATTTATGGGAAATGTACCTATGGACTTCCATATAGCATTTAAATTCTTCTAATGTGGGACTTCATTGTTAACACAGAACTGAAGGCAAATTACTGATATGACTGGGAAATTTGGTTGAGTGGCAGGCAACAGAAAATAGGGATAATAGGTAGGTACTCAAATTACCAGGATATAACAAGTGATGTACCACAAGAATCTGTTAGGGCCTCAATTAGTCACATTCATTATTAATGACTTTAGCAAATCTGGATATCTATGCCAATGACAAAGTTAGGCTGCATTTGTAAGACAGTGTAGATAGTCATCAATATCCCTCTGTAATTTTATGCTAAGTGAATAGGAAAAAGCTGACAAATGCAATTCAGTGTAAGCATGTATGAGGTTATCCATTTTGGAACAAGGATAAATCAGTAATTTCTAGATGGTTTGGAGCTTCAGATGCATAGATCATTAAAATGCCATGGACAGAAAATCAAAGTTAACATATCTAGAAAGCTGGAGTACATGGATGCTGAAGTTATGCTAAAGTTGTACTAAACACTGGTTAGACTCCACTTGGAGTAATGTGAGCAGATCTGAGCACCTAGGGAAGGACATTTTGCCTTGGAGTACAATGTAGGTTTACAAGAATGATACCTGGACTTAAGAATGAAGAGATTCTACAAATCAGTCCTATTTTCTCCAGAATTTAGAAGGTTTAAAAGGTGATCTGATCAATATTGTCAAGATATTGACAGAAGAAACTAATTGCACTGGGTTGAGGATTTCAGAACTAGGGTCATATTGTAAGAATTAGGGCCAGACCATTTAAACAAAGGTATTAGGAGATATGGCCAAAGGCGGGTATGAGAGTTAGGCGACATCAGCCATGATCGTCTTTAATGGTGGAACAGGTTTGAGGGGCTTAATCTACTCCTGTTCCTTCTAAATCTCCTGCCTTCCACCTTTTAAAAGTATACCCTCTTGTTATTGACCCTTCAACTAAGGAGGAGCAGCTGCTTTCTATCTACTCTGTCCATGTCCCTTATCTTGTACATCTTGATCAGATTGCTACTGAATCTTCTCTGCTCCAAAAGAAAACAACCTGATCTTATCCAGCCCCTCTTCATAGCTGAAGGAATTAAGGGATACGGTGAGAACGCAGGTAAGTGGATCAGAGTCCACGAAAAGATCAGCCATGATCTTATTGAATGGCGGAGCAGGTTCGAAGGGCCAGATGGCCTACTCCTGCTCCTAGTTCTTATGTTCTATGTTCTTATGTAGTTAGAATGCAACTCCGGACTGCAGACTAGGGCTGAGGAGTAAGAAGCAATTTCTATGTTTCTGCATATTCATTGTAGGATCCTATGGATTGCTTCCAGAAACAGCACTCCTAATTCTAACTTCAGCATTTTAATCTGAACTGGTATTGCAAGTGGTTTTTTTTTTTTTTTTGAAAGGCAGGTTGCATTTAACTTTCTTGTTCTGTTGGAGTTAAAGGTTCATGACATCACTAAAGATGAACAGTAAGCTATCCTGGTCAATGTTTCACCAGCTGATTTGGGTTAACTGACTATTGTCAGATCATGCTGTGTACAAAATGGCTTTTTAATACATATTGATGTAATTCAAATTGTGTGGTGTGTTTGAGATGCAATATATGCTGAACAACTGTTACTGTACTCATGGTTTTCAACACTGGCTTGATATCTGATTCTGAAGTGTCAGATTTAAATCATTGCATTCTTGAAACTGATGATCATGGAAATTGCTGAAGAACTTCTCTAAGTGCTAGACCATTGGATCTAAACTGCCTTAGAAGGCTGTAACCTATTATTATAGAACAAGTCTAATTATAGATCATTTTGGAATGATGTGTCAACACTGCTTGATCTATCTCCTGTTGTACAGTTGGTTATTTTGGCAAACATTGTCTAGTTTACAGTGCCAAATCTGTGTTCTAACCCTCTGCATTTCCAATAAATGTTTTGGCATAAATGAAACTCAACAAAATTTGTTTTGCAGTTGGGGTTTTTTCATTTTAGTGCAGTGATTGTCAAACTCTTTCTCACTGACCTTGTACTGAGGCTTGAAAATTGTGATCGGTGAGTGAGGTTGGGGGCTGAGAGCGAGGGCACAGCTGTTAAACCTGGTCAGAGCTATGCCAGTAGCCATTGCTGCCTTTAGAATCAGGGACCCCAGAATTTCACCTTGTGTCCACATTTGGACACCAATTTATTGTATGCTTTCCAGTCACAAAGCATAATGAAAAATGCTTACTTTGTAAAGTTAATAAACATAATTTAATGAAACAACGGAAAACTTGGCTGAAAAATTTAATGTTGGGGTGGGATTGCAAATTATTGGATTCCTTTTTTCTTTTGCTCCATTTACTAAAACTTGATATTTGCACATTAAATTTTTAAGGATTAACAATTGTCAATAGCACAGGTTTTGCATCAAATTCCTAGAAGGAATGCAAGAATTCTATTCATCCCATCTAGCCTTATCCATTCTTCTGGATTATGGCTGATCATCTTCCTCAATGGCACATTCCTTTGCTACCCCTTTGTCATTAGCAACTATCAATCTCTGCCTTTGAATTTATTTGAGCACACATTCCTCTCCCCTCTGCCTCCCCGAGAAAATTTGAGATTCACCATCCTCTGAGTGAAGTGGTTCCTCCTCCTCTCCATCCTAAATGGCTTGCTTTTTCATGCTGAGAACATGTCCCTTGGCTGTAGAGCCTACAGCCAATGGAATTATTTATTTCTGCCTATACTCTCTTGCCTGAAGTTTGTTTGTATTTTTTCTCTTCCCTTCTTTCCCATTGTACCTGAGGCTAGACATTTTTGTCAGCTTTTCAGTCTCATTAAAGAAATTGAATGTTTTTCAATCTAATCCGCACTAGATCCTTGAACCTCAATTTAGGACTTTTTGTCCTCTCTGAAAGCATGCAGTACTTGCTGACTTTGAAGTTTCTTGATTTTTCCTATAATTTATCCTGCCTCTACCTGTAATGGTTCCACATTTGCCTTGCTAATCTCCTTCTTCTATAGGCAGTGATGATGAAACTTTTGCAATCCATTCTGTTTCCTGCTGTTCTACATTACATTGATTCTATTCTTTTAATTTCATAGAATCCCTACAGTGTGGAGAAACGCCCTTTGGCCCAACAAGCCCACATTGACCCTCAGTGTCCCACCTAATCTAGGCATCACATCCCTGGATACTATGGGCAATTGAGCACTGCCAATCCACCTAACCTGCACATCTTTGGACTGTGGGAGGAAACGAGCACGCGGAGGAAACCCACATTGATACGTGGAGAATGTACAAACTCCACACAGTTGCCTGAGGGTGGAATCAAACCTGGGTTCCTGGCGCTGAGATGCAGCAGTGCTAACCACTGTGCTGCCCAAATCAGTCACAAGTGCTGTCACCATGATAAACTAGTAGAACAGAACTTCTTCTCTGACCAGGAATCGAACACGGGCCGTGGCAGTAAAAGCACCGAATCCTAAGAGAAGGTGGCAATGGCTGCTGGCGTAGCTGTGACCAAGTTTAACAGCTGTGCCCCTGCTCTCAGCTTCCCCCCAACCTCACTCTTGCCTCTCACCGAGGTGATTAGCCTCCTTCCTGATTTTACAGCAATTGTTGACATGACTTTTGTAGTCATTGTACTAAAGATAAACAAAGTAATTTATTTGTTCTGCCATTGCCATATCCACTACTGTCACTCCCTGACCCCCCAACATATGCACACCCCTAGTGCGTTCTCTTACTTATGTTAAATACTTACAGAAACTTACTGCTTGTGGTTAGAGTCCTAACTAGCTTGCTCTCTTCTAATTTTTTTTCATCGTGATTTAACTTTTCATTCATTCCGTGCCATCCTGATTGATCAATCAATCATCTGACCTGATCTTTGTGCTCTGTTTTGTAAGAGCTTTCAAGTATTGTTTACCAGAATGTTGTGGGCAGGAGCCTCAATTATCACCAGAACAGGGAGTGTTCCGTGTACTCCACTAAAAGACAGGCATAACTGGAGGCCATGCAGGTACCCACATGGCTGTTTTTTTTTGGAAACATTGTTTGTGGATACTAAATTGGAAATGTCACATGGGTGTTGCTGCTACTCAATCCAGGACAAGATCCCTGTTTTGTTTTTTGTTTGTCAATGAGAATACATGCTTGGATGCGTTGGAAAATATATGCTGTCCCAGGTAAATTGTTTTGTTGTAAAATGCATATTATGTTCCACTAATGATCAGAGTCGGTAATAGTGATATTTTTAAAAGGAGCATGGGTATTCCTGTGTGGTGCTCTTGGACCTACCATTGACTTGCAAAGTTCGCACATGTTGAACTAATAATCTGTTGTATAAACTTGGAGGAGAAAGGTTGTGCAACTGAGGAAGCATAACTTTCAAAAGTGTTTAAATATTAAAATAAACTGCAGACTAATTGCATTAATATCTAAAGAGGTGTACTTAGTGGTAATATTCTGATTTCACTTTTTTTTGTAGGCAGAAAGTGCGCAAGCTTGTTTTCCTTTTCCAAAACTAACCTATAATTGGCATGTCATGTGTTACTAATTATTTTCACAGATGCATATAATCCCTTGATGCTACAGTTTTTTTTAAAAAAAACTCTCCTAGGAATCTAATAATGATTATAGTACTTCAATGGAGTTGCTTAGAAATGGCTGTTTCTGGTTATTTGAAGTGGGAGAAAGTTAAAACATTGATGACTTCAAGATTTGTTTGTATTTCCTTAAGCTACTAAATCAATTTGCAATTTCTATTGTTTGTAGATAAGTTAGTTTAATGGGTTTATTTTTCTGCCTGTTGACAGATCAATGTACGTGTTACTACCATGGATGCAGAGCTAGAGTTTGCCATTCAACCAAGTACAACTGGCAAGCAACTCTTTGATCAGGTGAGATCAGTTTATTTTTGCTTCATTAGGTTAACTTTTTTAAATTTTGAATTAACATTAAAATTTTGCTGTCTGAAAGTTCAAATGAGTCATTTTAGTGGAGTCCTTTTAGAATTCCTAAAAGCTTGTCGATTCTTAAAGCAACAGTTGGTTGTAACTTTTATAACACAAGGAGTAGAAATGAAACAGTCTCATCTGAAGCTGAGTGGAGAGGTAGGAGGTAGAAGGGTTTGGGAAAGGTATTTGAGTAGAGTACTGTCCTATGAAGACTCCTGAGTGGTAAATATGCAGCAAGGTTTGATACACCAGAGACCAGAAGTCACCAGCTTTCATAAGGGCAGAGGATGTGCAACATGCATGTCGACTGATCTGCAAATACGGACAAGGATGTAGAATTTGGTGTGGCAAGGCAGCAAAAACTGGGATGATGGGAAACTGGATTCTGACAAGGTTAGACTTTTTTTTTCGTCGGTGAGGGAAAAAAAATAGAGCTCGGAAGACTGGTGAAGTGGAAGATGGAGGCTGGGATGCAGATAAGGCATTTAAGGAAAGACAGGCAGTGGTAACAGTTGAAGAAATTTCTCCAGATGTGTAACAGCAGTGGTTGTAGAATTGAATTGCAGCAACAGTAGATATTAGAAGCCTGCATGTGGCACGTTTACCTTTCCACACCATACTGCTGAGGAATACTGAAAAGGAGAGAGCCGAGGATAGAAATAAACTTTTCAAGGTGCACAATATTGGGGAGCTGAAGCACTTAAGTTTTATTAAGAGGGCATAGGAACCTTGGACACTTTTTTTCTATTTGGTGAAATTGACCAGAGAAATGGTGGGGGTAGGATGGAGGAACAAAAGCTGCTGCAACCTCAAAGCTGAGTATCAACTCCCATGTTTGTATTTCTTACCCTCACCTTTTTATATATTTTGGCATGCTCTTGTGTACTTGTTCTGGTATGCCACTTCCCCAGTCCTAACGATGCTCATTTACCTTTTCTTTCCTCCTTTTGAATCTTGTATTTGATTTTTTTCTCTTAAAATAAGACACCTTAAGGTGTTCCATCTTTCAAAATCTGTAACATTTACATCACTTATTTACAGGTCACTTGAGGGAGGAGGGCAATGTCAAATGCTGTTTGCCTTTTAATCTGATAATATAGATAACTAGCCTCTGCAAATGGGGAAACAAAGCTGAACAACTAATAATAAATCAAAACTAGCTTACTAATATTCTTAAGGAAAGGAATGTGGCCACTTGACCTGGTTGCCTTAGCTATTGCCCAGTATTAGTGATTTGACTTCTAATTATCCTCTGTGGCTTGAATCCATAGCTTCTCTTACCTAGAAGGGCAAAGCTGCAGATAGATGGGAATGTTGCCAGTTTAAGTCCTGCTCCAAGTCCTCCTGACTTGAAACTATCTTGCCATTTCCTCGCTATCATGGGCTCAAAATCCTGGAAAGCCTTTCTTGATGGCAGTACAGGTTTCTCTAAACTTGATGACTGCAGCAGTTCAAAAAGGCAGCTCACCACCTTATCGATCTAATGGAGATGGGGAATAAATGCTGGCTTAGACACTGATACCCACACCTTCCAGGAATGATTTATGTCCCGAAAAAGAATTTGTGTGCCATTCATTTCTTAATAAACTTATTTGCTCCTTTGCTTTACATCTCCTACTACATTGGTCTTTAAAACTCATTTGAGTTGGTTAATTGATTTTGAGGAAGCTGTAATAGGGCACAAGGATCATCTAGAAAGGGTACAGCGATTTTAACACTTCAGTTGTCTTTAACCAACCTTAAGTTAAGTTCAAGTTCTTTAAAGAGTAAGATGGTGCTGTGTGTGGTGACATTATACATATATCACTGTATCCTGTACTTTCTACATGTGACCAGCCTAATTCGAAGTTAGACCATGCTGGCATCTTTAAAGGGGTACTAATGATAACATCACTCAACTTAAACAGCACTTGGATGTTAATTTGTGATTGATAATGCATTTCAGCCCCTGTGGTACCCATCAGCCATGGAAGGTCTTGAGTGTACCATTGGGTATTGTGTGCTTCTCTCCAAGGACACCCAGGTGCTGACAGACTAACTGGAATGTTTGACACCCCTTGTTTAAGCTAAATGAAGCTTGCACAAATGCAAAACAAAAGGAAAGTTATCAAAATTATAGTAAGAGAAGGATGTAAGGAATATGAAAATTTTGCAAGGGATGTCAAAGCCAGCAGCAAAATCTTTTACAGAAATTAGAGAAAAACTATGCTGATGAGAAATGAGTCCATTGGGGCAGATGCATATACTCTGTACCCATTTTTATGCTTTGGGGTTGGCAGAGAACTGGTGACTAGATAAATTTAACTTTTCAATTAGTTGGCTAAGTATATGGAGGGAAGGTAAGTAAATGGTATTGAAGTACAGATTGCCCATGATCTAATTGTTTTGTGAAATTGGCTTTTCAGTCTGTGTATGACATATTCCAGTTTCTACTATTTGTTCTACTAATTTTACTTCAACTATTTGTTAAAATTTGCTTTGGTCTTTATTGCTGCCTTTTCCACTAAGTTTTTTTTTTGTATTGGGTTAAAAAAATTTAGCTTCCATTGTCTAAATATTCTGCAGTTTATTGTCATAATACAAAGTTTGTAAGTTGTTTTTAAAAACTTTTCTTTTAACTGATTTGTGATACCGACACTAATTTGGAAGGATGCTACTGGATATTTTTGTTTCAGGTTGTAAAAACTGTTGGTCTCCGAGAAGTGTGGTTCTTTGGCCTGCAGTATATAGACAGCAAAGGATATACCACGTGGCTGAAGCTAAACAAAAAGGTATTTTTATTCCTGCTTTTAATCAGCTCAAATAATCAAGAGCTACCTTTTTAAATGTATGGCAGAACACACTTGGATTGGTCCTTTTTAAAGATTTAAAATCTATGCCAGACATTTTAATTTATTAGTACTTGTACATAATTTTGCAACTTCTGGGTAAAGATTTAGAACTTAGTGATTCAGAATGTCACCCTTTAATTTGTGCATGATGAGCATTATTTTGCCTTAATTTGCTGCTTCATGCAATGGTAGAAAATGTTTATGCATTTTACTGCATTGATAATTATAAATATTAAAACAATATCAAGTAAAATTTTATTTGGTGTTTGGGATGAAGTGTGGGAATTGTGATTTTGAATGAATGTGAAAGTGGACAATTGGGGGCGTGAGGGAAAAAATTGAAAGACTAAATTTTTGTCTAGAGGGCTGGAGTTTGATTTTTGAGCTCTTAACTATAGTCTCATGCAGTTTTATCTAATGTGAAACTTTTTTAAAATCATCAGTTTTTCGGTCGACATTAGGAGTATTATGTAGCAGATGGACAAATTCTCTTTCAGGAAATGGAAATACGTTGTTAATTCACTTGATTAGCATTTCTGGTGAATTTCTTTCCTTTTTTGTTCACACTGACTACCAGCAGTAGTTGTACCTAAATACATTTGAATTAGACTCCATGATATATTTTTAAAGTTCCCTCAGTCCTCCTGGGTCATAGAATTGCTCCCTGACAGGCCAACTGCATGATTTAACTTGAGGGTTACCACACCTCAAGTGGCTGATATTGACACATGTGGTTATGGGATGCAAGATGCTCTCATAGGTTTAGTATGAACCATTAACAAAAATGAGAGTGCAGTCTTTGTTTTTTTTTTAATTTTGGAGTTTGGTGTGGGAGAGCAGGGGAAGACAGTGGAAAAAGTCTTCAAATAATGCTTGTTGCTGTAAGTGAAACTTGAACATTAAAATATCTTCTCCAGTTGTAGGATTGAACTGTTTATTCTATTATCAACATCTGAACTTGCAGCTCAGATGTAGCACTGTCTGGTTATGTTTCCTGTTTCCCGTTTCCCAAATTTCCTCTTCCTTGTAATCCCTTCTTATGCCAGTGGTATTATTGTATGTCCCATACTAATAATCCTGTTGTAACTTGGTGAGATTGCCAAGTTATGAGCCATCTGTGCTGCAATTCCCCACCTACGATTTGGATTGTGTGTCCAAATCCAGTTCTCGACAGAATGTTTAAAGCCAACAAACCAGTTTTCCAGTGTGTAACCTTAGGTTGAATTTGAAGCCAAGTAACAGATATGGAAAAATCATTGCTGAACCTATTAATTTTATAAAAACTTCAGTTTTTTTTTTAAAAGCTTGCAATTCAGTTTCAACCAAATAAATGTCAATTTTTCTCTTCTTGCCTTTTGTAAAAGTGTGTAAGAAAGTAAATATAGCTGTAGCCAGGATTCTGTTCTGAGCATGACCATATGTTTGGTTACTTGTGGAATTGAAGAAATGCAAGATTTAGGTTACCTCATTCCACAAATCTTTTGTTTAATCACATGAACATGGTTTATTATTTGCCACAAGTAGAGTAATGACGTGATTTTGTTTTCAGCATCAGTCAAGCTCTTGCCTTTTTTAAACCAAGCCCACTTGGAATTCATTGGACAGCAATGAAAAGTGGAATTCTCGCCATTGTATTTGTTTTCTTTCCCTAATATTTGTTTTGTATTGCTTATATGGTCTGCCATGCTAATCCTTCCACTTCACCATACAACCATCAACCTTTAAAGCCAGAAAAAAGTTATTTCTCCCAGATTTGCATATTAAGACCCAATATATATTGCCACCTTAATGTCGTTTTTCTCCTTTATTTTTACATTTTTCTTGTGACTGTAGTGCAGGTTGTGATGCTTTGAATCTTAATATTGCAGTCAGCCAGTACTGTTTATATACTGGGCTGAACCTCAGTCTTTATTTCTCATTGCGTGTGCAAAACATGGAGTATTGTTAAATATGGAACTTGAATAATTAATTGGAATAAATATCCAAAAATTATTTAAGTGAAATGTTCCATAAAATCCTGTCTGATAAGATCGCCCTCTTGAGTATTAACTTGCTGTAAAGTCTCAATTGAACCAGAGAGGAGAACTTATTTTTCAACTTTGTTCCAGGTTACTCAGCAGGATGTACGAAAAGAGAGTCCTCTACAATTTAAGTTTAGGGCAAAGTTCTTTCCAGAAGATGTGTCTGAGGAGCTGATCCAGGAGATAACGCAACGTTTATTCTTCTTGCAAGTGAAAGAGGGTATTCTTAATGATGAAATCTACTGTCCACCAGAAACTGCAGTCCTGCTTGCTTCTTATGCTGTGCAGGCTAAATATGGCGATTTCAACAAAGAGGTTCACAAATCGGGCTACCTAGCTAGTGATCGGCTTCTTCCCCAGCGGTAAGTGGAACAAAGTTGCTTTGTCTGCATTTCACTTTTAAGTTGCTGTGCTACATGCAAAATGAATATTTCCTATCTCTTACTGAAATGCCTTGCATTGTTCTAAGTATCTGTGGTTTTGGTCAAGCATAATGTTATGGGGTCACTGAATTGCAAAAATTGATGCAGTAGTTTGGCTTCCTCTATCACCCTGATATTGAAAGGGTCAAAACTGGCTGAATTTGAGATGTAATTTGCTCCTGCTCCCTCATATCATCTTTTTGCCTTGGTAATTTTCAGGTCTGCCAACTAATCAGTCTAGACACCGTTCATACTTAAGATAGAAGTTTGTATAGTTTCTGGGAGTAGACTGATTCTGTACAATAGATTTCTTAACCTTTTTCCAAAAAATGTTTTTGCTTTACGGGGATTGATTTAGTCTCTAGTCCATCTAGTTTTGCTTTGTAACATTCTGATAGTCACGTGATGGTGATGAGGGGTTGTTGACTAGTTATAATCCATCTTTAGTGGTGGTGCTTTCTTCATAGAAGTTAAATGTATAGAGGAAGTGATGATAAAAGTTAATGTCAGCCACTTGGAGACCAGGGCTGGGGAAATTTTATAAGGAACCAGGAAATGACAAAAGATTTGAACAAATACTTTGCATCTGTCTTCATAGAAGACTATAATAGCGTTCTAAAATTGCTAAATCAAGGGCAGAAAATGCAAAAACTGTCAAAGGAAAAAGTGTTGGGGAAACTATTCGGGTTAAAGACAGAAGTTCCTTGGATCTGATGAGATGCATCCTAGGATATCAAAAGTAGCTACAGTGATAATAAATGCACTGGCAATCTTATGAAATCCTTGGCTTCTGGACCGGTCTGAGGATTTGAAAACTGCCACTGTAATTCCTTTTCCTTTAAAAAGGAGACAAAAAGACTAACCATAGGCTAGTTAGCTTAACATCTCTTTATTGGGAAAAGGTTAGTCTATTATAAAGGATGTAATACGTTACATATAATTAAACTAAACCTGAGTCAGTATGGCTTCATGAAGGGACAGATCATGCCTGACCAGTTTTACTAAATGGAGTATGTAACGAGCAAGGAAGCAATGGATGCAAAATTTGAATATTCAGGTGATGCTTTGTAAGGTACATATAGTAGGCAACTTTCAGAATTTCTGATTCACCAGCTGTCAGGTGCCACCTTCTATTTCCCCCAGACCATGACCCTATCAACAAGCATCTGGCCATGGTGTCCATGACTGTCACCAACCTCATGTCGTCGTCGTCGTCGTCGTCGTCGTCATCTGCATCTCCGGCCCCTGCCGCCCCCCCCCCCCCCCCCCCAACCCGCAGCAGCTTCCCAGCATACGAGGCTGGTTCTCCCTTCTTACCAGTGGGCACACTCACTTTTTGTCTATTCATGCCCCACTTGTTACTTCCAACCTTGACTCCCTTTTTTTTTCTTGTCTAGTTGCTCACGAAATACATCTCCAATTCTTTTGACGCTTTGTTGGCTTTAAAATTGAGTTTGCAGACTCCAGCCGCTGCCCCTTCATGATGGATGTGTAATCCGTCTTGCACATCCATCCCCCTGAAGGGTCTGGGCCCGAAACAAAAACACCCCTACTTCTCTGCTGCCTCACCTGCTGTGTTCAACCAGCTCCAAACTGTGTATTGACTCCCATCAAGATGGTGTCAGGGCTCTCCACTTTCTTTTCCTGGACACATTGCTGGAACCACCACTGCCCCCTCTGCCTGGCTGAGCTCATCCTCACTTTGAACAACTTCACCTTCTCTCTTGCCCCCTCAGGTCAAACATGGCCATGGGTACCTGCACGGGTCCCAGCTAAGCTTATCTTTTTTTTTTTTTCTTCTTCTTCTCTACCCAAACCACCCCCCCTCACTCTCTCTGGTATATTAATATCATCATAGCTGCTTCCCTTTTTTCCAGAATTAGGAAAATTTATCAATTTTACTTCCAGTTTCCATTCCTGGGGATAGGCTAGCCACCAACATCCCCTAAAAATCCACAAGCTCCCATGGTTACCTGGATTATGCATCCTCACTGTTTCCTGGAAGGACTCTACCCAGTTTGTGTCCATTGTCTTTTTTGATGCCAGCTACTGTGAGAGCCTCATGTCCATCTTTTTGCTCAACTGAGGATTCTCTCCTAATGTGGTTGATAGGGCCTCAAGCCTCTTTATCCAAGGCCAGAGATTACTGTGCTTATACCTGTTAAACAAGTGTTTGAAAATGCTTAAATTTTAAGCTGGCTTTAAAACACAAATTTAACATGCCTCATCACTAGCTTCAAAGTTTGTCAGCCTTCTAATTATGTACTTTGTATTTAGTGTCTTAGAACAACATAAGTTGACGAAAGAGCAGTGGGAAGAAAGAATACAGACTTGGCATGAAGAACACAGAGGAATGCTGAGGTAACATTCCAAAAAACTCAAAGCGTTTGTGTTCATTGTGAAGTGTCTGAGTTATTGTGTGCTCTGTTGTGGGCTTCTCATTGGATAAAGTTTTACACTTGTTGGAGGGTGATGAGGTTTTAAAAATGAAAAAACAAAGATGTGTATCATGTCTATATTTCGATGTAAACTGGAATATAGAAAATATCCATTGAGTCATATTTTGAAGACTTTGCATGATCCCTGTCCCTTTCTTACCCTCAAATATATATATTTGAGACCTTCTCTGCGGTGACATTGATCTGAAACACAGTAATGAATACTTCAAAAAAAAAAAATCGTTGAAGATGGTGAATAAAATGCATCTGCCTGTGTATGTTGGAGAGAAAACAGCCAATGATACAACTGCATTTGTTACAAGAAGCACTGACAGTTTAGGAGTTTGTCTTTGTGCAATGTTAAATCAGGCTAGTCAGGAATTGAATGGAAACTTAATTAGTTTCTCCTGTTGCATAACAATGTGTATACTTCAATAGATGCATACTTGAGCAATGATACTGGAATTCAGATAATGGCCAACAGTGAATAAATGTGTTGACACTGGCAGTGCAGGGATTTTTTGTTGTGAGACATTGTCATCTCTGGCCGGCCAGCATTTATTGCCTGTCCCTGGTTGCCCTTGAAAGAGGTGTGGGGTTCCCATGTTGAACAGCTACAGTCCATGAGCTGTAGGTTGACCAACAATGCTGTTAGGGAGGGAATTCCAAGAGCTTGACTGATGAGAGAGGAGTTTGAGGCTAAACCACAACATCATCTCTTCAATGGGGTGGAGGGAGAACACAAAAAAGGGTCAACTTGAGCATTATGAAACATCAGAATTTGTGTTGTCAGTTCTTGATGGTGCCTCATTCTAAATAACTAGTGGAAGAAGAGGAAAATTTGAAGTTGTACAACTAACTCATGGCAAGCATGGATGAATAACTTTTTTGTTTTCATTTAACAGTATAAAACAAGTATTTTTTTCAAATCTAAAAGCATGAAGTTGCTGATGAAAAGAGCAGATCCTAAAATGTAGCTATTAGGTTTTCTGTATTTCAAGTTTAAAACAGCAAAATGTAGCCAAGTGGTATTTAGTCATTTCCAGAATGGTTGTCCCACTTATGGTTCAAAATTGTAAGGTAAAACAACTAAATTGTGTACTTTTTGTGACATTGCAAAAGGTCAGCTTTAGCAATGATCAGTTTCATTTATTGCTGCCTTGGCTATCTGGTGCTAAATAGTAATCCTTAATTGTTTGTATATATTCCATAGCATTTAATTTGAGTATCTGATTGTGTAAATAGGGCAATGGCTTCGGCTATCTTAATGTTTCCTGCAAGATCTGTATTGTAAAACAGTTTGATTTTCCAGGATATATATGCATGGATCTATAGACTAATGATTACAATCCCTAAGCCTAAAAAGAATAAACAGGATACTATATAGTGGAGAATGGGGGGGTCTCTATTAAAGAACTTGCAGTATTTGGTTGTCAAGGACGTTGGCAACCTCAAGTCTGGGTACTGAGACCAGAAAGTATACCTAATGAGTTTGGTTAAGTGAACGTAAAATGTAATGATTCCTTTCCTTAAATAGTCAAAAGGATAAAGTGACTATCACATTGCTAGAAAGGATAGGAAGATACTAAAACCTAACTCTGGAATGCTACTTCTAAGACAACCATGGTATCATACATGTTACAAGTTTTTTTTTTTTTTTAATCTTTGCACATGAACTTATTGCATTTGTGATCAACTAACATAAGGAAGATACATAATATGAAATATTCATGGCATATACAGAATCTTCTCCTATGCAGTACAACATTCTTCAACTAATATCTATACATCTATGGCTTCAGCATTTTGAAGAGCTTGTATTGGGACATTAGGTAACTTTTTACACCCTTAAATATTTGTTACACAAACTACCTTTTCACTTAATACATCCAGCAGAAAAATATAACATGAAAGCAGTGCTAGAAAAGCATCTGTGGAGAGAGATACAACTTGTTGCTGACCTTGATCAACTAGAATTAAGTTATTCTCTGCAGATGTTGCCTGAAGTGCTGACTTGGAAACAAAAATGCAGGAAACAATAGATTTCAAGCATTCAGTGTTTTTTGCTTCTGCGTATGATGTGCACCAAATGTTGTATCTTAGTCAGTGAGGCTGTAGAGCAATTGATAAAATTTTTGAATAATCTCCTGTTTCACTACCTCAACAGCCAGGTGTACCATAAAATATTTACTTGATTTTTGTTTGTTTATAGGGAAGATTCAATGATGGAATACCTGAAGATTGCTCAAGATCTTGAAATGTATGGTGTCAATTACTTTGAAATCAAGAACAAAAAGGGAACAGAGTTATGGCTGGGTGTCGATGCTCTTGGACTTAACATCTATGAACATGATGACAAGTAAGGAATCTACATTTTTAAAAAAAAAAAAATCTGTCGATTTTTGTAATTTAAAGCAAGCCTTTAATGTGACTAGAAAATTTATTGCAGTGTTTAGTGATAGGTTGCTGTCTCAAAAAAAAAAGCAGAGATGGGTCAAAACCACATTACCATGGAAGTTCCAGGTCTGGTGAAATGGATGTAAATTTCCAAATAAGTTTAAGGAGTGATAAGGATCTGCTGTGGTCCAGCTCCAGTTCTTACATGGTGGTCTACCAGTTTGTGATCACTTTTTTTTTTCCAAATGCATCTGAAAGGTCAGCAATTAGCTCTCTTCCACAGATACTGCCTGAATATTTCTGTCCTTTTTTTTTCAAATTTCCAGCATCTCAGTATTTTGGTTTTTCAATTGCCATCATCCATCACCTTCCAATTCTACTCTTCCCTTGCCTTTTTCTCATCCTTGATCTCCCAGCAATACTACTGTGGTGACCCCCTCAAGTGTCTCCCTAATGATTCAGTATCTGAAATTATCTTTAATTTGTTCAACAAACTGGAGTTAGTGCCGTCAGACCTGACACACACTTTCTGACCTTTTTAGCTGTTATCATTGGAGCTTCTCAAGCAGTGACCTTTAATCCCGAACTTGTTGTCTTCTACATGCTGCTCCTGGGCAACAACAACTTAGAGCACAAAACCAACTTTCACATGTACACTGGTTTAAAAAGTGATTTTTTTTTTTTTTTTTTTTTTTTTTTTTTACCACCACCAAAAGCAGCTAAGGTTGGACAACAAATGTTTGAATGCTTTTTTTTTAAAAAATAGCTCTTCTAATTCTTTGGTGATTTTCTTGTTGATCAAAGCCTTTGTCCCATGTTAGAAACACTAATTGTACCACTGATATCTACCCTTTTTCCCCCTCCATGTTTTGAACTTCACCTATCTGCCTGTACCCTGATTGGTCCATTTGCTGCTGATACTTTCAGAATTGACTTCTGTTAAACTCTGCAACCCCTGATTTTCCCAGGATACATTGGCTCTGGCTCACGCTTGTGTATCTCTGTGTAATTTTTTAAAAAAAACTTGCATTTGGGTCTTTTCATAACTACACCCTATTTGCTAACTGATTCAACACCCTTGCCCACCTGACCTCTTGTGCATCTCCTTCTTTCAGTTCCCTGTTGGAGGCTGTATCTTCAGGTGCCTCCGCTCTTCCTTATCTCGAATTGTCCTAATAAATGCTTCTGTTTATCTATTCTGTTATACTGTCTCTTTGTGCTCTTCAAATTTCAGTTTTAAGTTTTCTGGATACTTCTTTTTTACCTTAACATCTGTCCTGTTTTGAAGTGCCCTGGGATGTAAAAAGGCACAATGTAAATGCAGACGGTTGACAAGGCTGTCAGCATATGAAACTATCTTAACTAAACGTCAACAGGAAGGGAAAGTCTGAAACATTTCTCTTTCCTACTTTTAAAAAACCTTTTTGCCATCACTGTTCCTTTTTGAAGTTGGGTCAAATTAGGAACAACAGTAATTCCTCCTCTTACCTGCGTAAATTTAATCATTTTTGAGGAGATGCAAGTCGTGAGGTAAACAGTTAATGTAAAGCAGCTTGCAGTGCAAAAATACATTAAAGTGCAAGGTAGTGGAATAACTGGGCATGCCACATGTCCTGCTGCACAGAATTGAGCCATTATATCAGCCAGATATATTGCTGCTCGAGCTCATAACATGGAAATGTTGAATTAGTCAGTAGACTTTTTTTCCCAGCTTCAGTTTTTCAGATGAGTTATGCTTAGTTGCTGAACCCAAAACCCATCAGTTGTAACAAGGTAATACAGATGTTATCGATCTTAAGAGCAGCAAGGCAAATAAAATCAAAGCACGGAATGTTTGTCTGCACAATAACGGCAACAGTTCCTCTGGATGGCATAAAGTAGAAAATCATTTTGGGAATGATTACTGAAGGTTGCTACTGCTCTGCCAGACTTGTACTTTGGAAAATTTGAGTTTGAAAAGAGAATAAAAGATCCATATATTAAGGGATAACGAGGTGCAGAGCTGGATGAACACAGGCCAAGCAGCATCAGAGGAGCAGGAAGGCTGGCGTTTCGGGCCTAGACCCTTCTTCAGAAATGGGGGAGGGGGAGGGGAAGGGCGTTCTGAAATAAATAGGGAGAGAGGGGAGGCAGATAGAGGAGAAGATAGGTGGAGAGGAGACACAGGTCAAAGAGGCAGGGATAGAGCCAGTAAAGGTGAGTGTAGATGGGGAGATAGGGAGGGGATAGGTCAGTCCAGGGAGGACGGACAGGTCAAGGGGGCGGGATGAGGTTAGTAGGTAGGAGATGGGGGTGGGGCTGGGCTGGTTTTGGGATGTGCCGAGCTCGTCCCCGCCTCCCTAACCTGTCCGCCTCCCTAACCTGTCCGTCCTTCCACCGCCCCCCGCCTCCCTAACCTGTCCGCCTCCCTAACCTGTCCGTCCTTCCACCGCCCCCCGCCTCCCTAACCTGTCCGTCCTTCCTAACCTGTCCGTCCTTCCACCGCCCCCCGCCTCCCTAACCTGTCCGTCCTTCCACCTATCCCCCGCCCCACCCCCA